TTAAATTGTTCATTAATTTAATTAGTTTACAGGTAATCTGTTTAAATTACAGGTAATTACAGTTAATTTATGATGGTTTTGTTAATATCTGTTCATTTTATTTACATCTTTGTCATTATAAAAGGGGAAATAACCAATTTACTTATTTCTATGGAAATTAATACAATGTAATAAAATAAATGTACCAATGAACAATATCGGTTAAAAATAAAATTAATCCTGAGTGGGATAGAAGCAAAAACTTGTTGGTTAATTTGACATGTCAAAAAAGATGTGGATATTAGTTCAAATACCAAAAGTAAATAATATAAATACTAATAAACGTCATTCCAGAAATGCAAATTGAAATTATTATCTCATCTCCTGTTGGGTTATTTAATGTTGAATTTTGAATGAGGCACCCAGTGAGGATCGAATTCACTACTCATTAATAATGGTCAATGAGATTATTAGCTTTGTTGGATCATTTTGTCTTACTGTAATACTCAAGTATAGTGTGAGTTTTTATGATCTTTTTTTCATGCAAAAAATAGGGGGTCGCATTATACAAAAAGTAATTTTTTTGAAAAGGTTCAAAATCCTGCGTTTTCAGTGACTGGTTGCACTAGGTAAGTTTTTTTTTATTTTTTTTTTTATTTTTTTTGGAGGGGTTAAAATTCATGCACAAAAAATTTTCAAGATTATGAATTATTACACTCATTTGCTTAGCAGAAATTAAAATTAACTGAATAGAAATCCAGGCAAACCTGTGTATATGAGCTGGAACTGGGTCATTCATTGTACTTGTAAAATCCTACAATTAAGCCCAGCTCAGATCAAATGATAAGAACCCTAAAAATAAGTGAGCTTTTTTTTTTTTTTTTGTGTGTGTGTGTGTGTAGTTGTCTGTTTTTTGTGTTGGTTTTTACCTTCATATCAATACTCGCACCGTCCAAGCATGCAAGAAGGCAAAGAAAGAAAAAAAAATGTCCTTATGTAGATATTTTCTTTCATGGTTAATTGACTTGACATCATAGCAACCTCTCTCAATTACCCACCTCTCTCTCTCTACACAATTACTCATTGTATCAAGATACACATTTTTGTTAACTTAAAACCGCCTCCATGTTTCTTTACCGTCCTCTCTCTATCTTCTCCTTACACTCTTCCTCTTTTCTATTCTTTATATCCATAATCTTTCAAAACTATATCTTTCCCTTCTCTCTCTCCCACCTTCACTCCTGTCTCCTTCTTTTCCTCTGCCTCCCTCCCTCTGCATCCTTTCCTCTGCCTCCCTTCTTCCTTTCCTCCTCTTATTTCGTATTGGAATCTTGATTTGTGTAAGAGAACAATCCTCTTACCCCTCTGACAAATCTTTTCACTGTGTCTTGGTAATGGCTGAATGAATGGTTAAAGAATTGAATTGGAAATGATATGAAGTGAGGTTTTAATTTATTTAGTGATGGCACTGAACTTGATTCAATCATTTATTGTGCTTGATGTGTCTGTATTTGTTAATACAGTGACTTTCCTTAACTTTTACTTGTAAAGTTATTTGTATTTTTGTAAAAAAAAAAAAATTAGTCCTTTTAAATAATAACAAAAAATACTTGAAATATCATCTCAAGATGTTTGTAGGGATGCCATGGACATTCTAAGAATCTCACAAAAACTCATTTTAAATAATTTAAATGTCTCTTAAGTTAAATTTTGGTTCTGTTTGAGAGATAATAGCCTAATGATGAAAAGAAAAATGAATTTCCATATGTAAATGAAGTTTTTACATATTTTTAAAACATTATTCTCTCAAACCACCATTATAGACAAAAAAATGTAAATAACAAATTTTTTAAATCAAATATTTGTTGTAAATATCTGCTTCAAAGTAAATTTAAGGATTAACTTTGTAAAAATAATGCTTACTTTTTGCTGAAAACAATAGAAATAACTTTTGTGCACTGTAGCCTGTGATGTCAACAACAGTACTTTTCTACTGTGATCCCTAACTTCAAAAGCCCATGAAAAATTTTTTTTTTTTTTTTTAAATTTAAAATACCAAGCACCAGCAGTGCAATAATGAAAAAATTGGTATTTGTATAAAAATAAATTATCTTTATATATAACCAATAGTTTAAGAACATAATTTTTTATTCTATCTGCTTTTATGAAACTTAGTAAAATGAATCCTTTAATATTTCTACATTAGAAGTATAAAAAAGAAATTAATTACCTACTAGTGAAATGATACTTTTGAGTTTAATTCATTTATTTTATTTTATTAATTTCTTACTTGTTTGATGTTATGAAATATTTATTTGTACCCAGTAAGTTTATTCTTTTTATTATTCTGGATTTAAGAATTATCATATATCATATTACTCTTCCAATAGGGAAGAGTAGTCAAAGACAATAATTCAGATTTATTTTCTTTTCAAACTTCTGTACAAAAATAATCTAACAATTGTAAAACTGAAAAACAAAATTTAATTCTTTTTAAAAAAAGAAAAAAAAAGTTCACACTTGACTTTACATTTTTCAATTATTCAAACATGCCTTTATTCGATTTAAAAAAAAAAAAAAAACTCTTGTGACAGCAATGGGAAGAATTTCAAAATTGTGCTGAAAACTTACAAGTAAATTTTTAACAAAATACAGTGTAGATTTTTTTTTCTATCTAATCTGAAAGAAAATATTTTATTAAATCATGCAAGCACCAACTCTCCAAGAAAAAGTTATTTACACGAAAACAATAAAGTAACACTACTCAGAATAAGGACAATGTTTTAATCAATTTTTGCCTTATTTATACCTTTTCTGGGGATCTGACAGACACTAGCTTCTTTGACATCAAAACAGGGGGTCCTTCAGGGTGACACCTTTGCACCTTTTCTCTTTATCACCCTTGACAAACATTAACATCTAGATTTTACTTTATCACCAAGATACACAAGTCGATATCCTGCAAAAAAATTGACTGATATTGACTATGCAGATTACGTAGCTATCCCTACAGGCACCATTACCAATGCCACAGCACTCCTATTTCATCTAGAAAATGTTGCCAATGTTGTTGGACTCTGTCAATGCCTCTAAAACTGAATTCATAAACATCAAGGCTCAATACAAACTGTCTCAGGTGAATCAATAAAATATGTTGAATCTTTTATATACCTAGGAAATTAAACAAATTCTACTAAAAAGAATGTGAAAATTTGCATAGCCTTAAATAGAATGGATGCCATCTTGAAATCTGATCTAATAGACAACATCAAGTGGAGATCCTTTTGAAACTAGAGTCAGTTTTAATATATGGTACCACTGCTTGGACATTAACTAAAACCCTAGAGTCTAAGCTTGATGGAACCTACACTCAGATGCTGAGAGCCATACTTAACATCTCTTGGAGACAACATCCAACTAAATCACAGCTCCATGGGCCCATCCCTAATATTTCTACAATCTTATGTGAACACAAAATGTGCTTTTTAGGACACTGCTGGTTAGCAAAACAAGAACTCGTGAGTGATCTACTGCTCTGGAGAACTAGCCGTGTTCGCAAGACTGGCTGGTTGCCCAGCAACCACCTACAGAATGTCACCCTAATGACCTTCCAACCTTGATGCAGGACCATGATGGTTGGTGTGATAGACTGATGAATATCTGAGCTAGCTCAACCAAATAATAGTACTTTTTCTTATTCTTCATCTATGACTAATCTCAAGAGGGGAGAGCCCATCGTTTTAAATTCTAATAGGAATATTAACCTTTTGAGCCCTGACCACCGCTTTACCAGTGGTAGAGAAAAATGACATAGTGCCCAGCCACCGGTTGAACAGTGGTAGAGAAAAATGACTTAATGCCCAGCCACTGGTTGAACAGTGGGTAAACACTCACATCATGTTTTGCTATTGGTTGTCTTATTTTGAAGAGCCAATCAGAAAAGCTGTAATATTCTGATGTCATCGAATGTTGTACCAACACCAAGATTTTTATATCTACTGTGAAACATTGCATACCAATTATTTGTGAATTTTGACTCAAGAGCTCAGGCTAAAAAAATTAAAAATTAAAATTGTTCAGAAATGCAGGGCTCAAAGTGTTAAGTGTGTGTTTTTATGCCTCTGACACCAAAATCAGAAATGGACATGAGAGGCTTTCTGGATACTGACCAGTTAAATTACTATGTACATTCTCACAGCTGGTTTGTTTATCATGATGACAATTTTTATTATCTTTTCCATTGTCTGAATATATTCTTGTTTTGAACCATAGTGATGCTGCATATCATGGACAAGAATAGTTTGGTGGGGGAAGTAAATTTGTAGCTCTGTTAGAATAATGCTATAATATAATAATTACTATACTTTCACTTTCTGTTCTGCTAGCCATTTAGACAAGCAAGTTAATTGGGTTACTTGCTGCTTTCCTCTGTTACTCTTGCCTTCAATGTGTCTTGTGAGTGTTGAATTCTCCAAACTCTTTTCTCATTATGTTTTAGGAATTATAACTCTCTCTTTGATTCTAAGTATAAGTTTCTTTGTTGATGCCTTTTTCCTTAAAACTTCCTCATTACTCATATGTTCATTCAATGGTATTCTCAGTATGCCTCTGTAGAACTATATTTCTGTTGCATGATGTCTCTTCATCTGTAAGAAAATTGTCCAGTATTCACTGTTATATAGGAAGATTGACACGACATAACAATTCAGCACTCTTTTCTTTCTTTCTGATGAAATTTTCCTGTTTCTTAATACTTTGCTTAGATTTTGGAAGGCATCTTTCATTATTCCAATATTCCTACAGATTTCAGTTTCACATTTTCCATCAAATTTTAAAATTTAATTTAACAAATTAAATTTTCATAATTGATTTTAGTATATAATAATATATATAATTTTATGGAGATGATATAAGTATAAAATAAAATAAAAATAATGTAATTTTATAGTAATATATATTTTTTTTTTCAGGTCCTGCAAAACATTCATTTAAAGAAATTTATTTTTTTAAATATTTTTCAGGTTGCTCTAATATTACATGTGTCAGCTTGGCAAACTCAATCTTAGCAAGAGCACCAGCCCATTACTTACATCAGGTGTACCTGCTCTACCTGGATATGTCTGACTGCAACCTGTTGGATGATAGGGGATTGCAGATTCTTGCATTACACTGTTCCAGACTCCAGTTTCTCTACCTGCGACGCTGTAACCTCATCACAGATGCTGGTATACAGCATGTGGCTACCAATTGCACTGAACTGAAAGACCTCAGCATCAGTGACTGCTACAATGTCACAGACTTTGGTATCATGGAACTGTCCCGATTGGAACCAGACTTACGCTACCTTAGTGTAGCAAAATGTGATAAAATTTCTGATGTTGGAATCAGGTATATTAGTCAACACTGTTTGAAACTGAGGTATTTGAATTGCCGTGGATGTGAGGCCATTTCGGATGATTCTATTGAACTTTTAGCTCGAAAGTGTCACCGGTTACGTTCTTTAGACCTTGGCAAATGTGACATTACTGATAGAGGCCTCTTCATGTTGGCCAGATATTCTCCGCATTTGAAAAGGCTAAGTGTGAAGTCTTGTGTGGGTATCACTGACCGTGGAATCATAATGGTGGCCCAGCAATGTCTGCAATTACAACAGCTAAATATTCAGGATTGTCATTTATCTGTGGAGGCATACCGCAATGTAAAGAGATTTTGTAGACTTTGTATCATTGAACACACAAACCCAGGATTCTTCTAAGCTAAATCTATACATATAGTTATATTCAGTCATATTTCTTTTAATCTTTGATTGTACAAGGTTTCGAGAGAAACACCTCCCGCATAATGGTAAAACATTAGCTAGATAAAGACACTAGTGTCACTACTGTCTTACCTTTATGTAGGAGGTATATGTGGCAGGTATTTCTGTTGCACCATGTACTATATCAAGAAAGTAACTTATTTAAAAAAAAACAAACAAAAAAAAAACAACTTTTGACTGTATTAATGGGGTTTTTAACATGGGAGGGAATAAATAAAATAGACGATTAGTAAGCAGAAAACATTTGCACAAATTTCCTTAATTGACAGAAATATGGGTAAATAAGATGTCTGTTTACTACAATAAATTCACCCCAACCACATAGTTTGGTTGAGAAAAGGGATATATATATATATATATATATATATATATATATATATATATATATATATATATATATATATATATATATAATCCATGGGTAAGTAATCCAAGTAGATCCTAATAATATAAAATATTAAAACTCATCCACAAAAGAGAGGTCAATATATTTATTATAGTGCCCCAAGGAGAATATCCTGAGGTGAAATGGCCATCTGAATGGGGTAATAGTTTCATTTTTTATGTAATCATATATATATATATATATATATATATATATATATATATATATATATATAATGTGTGTGTGTGTGTGTGGACATTTACATATGCTCTATTCTGATATGACATACCTTAAAATTATATTTTATCATACACACACACACACGTGTATATATATATATATATATATATATATATATATATATATATATATATACACACACACAAACACACCCCCTAATTTTCAAAAAGATTTAAAAATTAAACAACTAAATTGAAAATGGGAAGTGCTGTAGTTGGCCTAATGGTTAACAGCAAGAAAAATGAAATATTTTAACAGTTCAAATTCAGCTGAGGTCGTTTCTGTTTATGTTACTATAAAGCTCTTAGGTTAAGCATGAATCTACTTTTTCACAAGAGGTCAGATCAGATATTACTCTTTGCTGCCAATGCTATGTAACGCAGTACAACCTGCTGTAAGAGGAAATGGGTGGCACCAAACAACCTTGATTGCCCCAAGAAGCACCAGGAACGACCCTCACTAATCTATAAATCATGGGATAATTTTTAAATAATAATTTTTTTAAGATAATATAAAAAAATGATTAATACAGTTAAATTTAAAAGATTGTACTATAGAATAGTACAAGTAAAAAGTACATGAATCTAATGAAAAGTCTATCACTTATTTTCCTATATTCATCCTATTTACATAAAAGTCTTGAAATAGACACTCTTTATTCTCCATCATTCCCCTCGCTATGGCCACAGTGCAGTGAATACAATGCCAAATTTATAACATCATGTTTTAAATTGAAAGTAAATTGATAACATTTCAAAACATACAAAATTTTTTAAATGCAATGGCCGTTAACAGTTGCCAGTCCAAAACTGAAATAAGAACCTTCAGTGCAATCTATTTATTTCCTCCTCTTCTTGCTCTGTTGTTTTATTCTTATCAGCTGCTTTACAGCATTTCATAACATTGGGGAGATTTCAGCTGAGATCTATCAACCAAGTCAACATTGACAATTCTTTTTCACTTTCCATAATAGCAAATAATTTATCCATTTTCAAATGTGATTGCTATTTTGACTAACACGAAACAACTTGACACTGCACAAATTATTCTCATCCTCTTGAGAATTGCACTTAACAATTCTTTTTAGAAATAAAATGGTTGAATTACATAAAGATATAACTTCCTGCATCTAACAAGACATTTTTTAAGAAAAAAAAAAATATATATATATATATATATCAACATCATCACTTGATAAGACACAGTGTGTTGAAACAAAATGGCTATTTTTGTAGTGATTTTATAACATACTTATGTTATAATTTTTTTTTTTTTTTATAAAAAATAATTATATATATATATATATATATAAAACACGCACACACATCCACAGGAATTTATGTTCCTTACAGTTCATTTACTCTCATACATCAGAAATACTTCCAACATTAGCTCAATGAAGACTCCATTGCCACTAATGTCTTACCATTATGTGGGAGGTATTTCTATCACTCCCTATATATGAGAGGAAGGAAAGAAAGACAGACAGTTTCAACGTAGAAATCAACCCTGATTGGTGACTGTCAGTTTCACACTTTAAGTGATCTACAAATGGTCTGAAGATTTCAAAACATGAAACTGCCAGTCACCATGCACTGTTGATATCTTTGTCCCCACTCTCTGTCTATCTCCAATATTAAACACTCTTACCTCTTAAATATAGCAAATCTTAAACACCCATACATATTTTTTTCAAATGAGAGAAAGAGATCAAGTATGTTTTTATTATAATCTCTTATAATAAAAATATAATAATATATATATATATATATATATATATATATATATATATATATATATATATATATACACATTCATACACATATTTATATAATTATTTGCATTGTCCTTTTGCCTACAGCTAGCTATCTTCCTCGCCTTGGAAAAATCAGGTGGCAGTATCTGTTTTAGGACAATCGCAAACTCTTCCAAGATACTTACAAATCCTAAAGTTAAAAATAGAATAATAATAATAAATATATTTAAAAACACATGAAAAACTAATAAGTATGCACTTAACAAAAGCAAGCCATCATTTTTGACAACATGGGTAAATTTGTTTGACATATTAACTGAGAGCCAACAAAGAAAAGTGAATTGAGCCATTTCATTTTGGTTGACAGCCCTAATTTTTTTTTTGTTTGTTTAAATTGTTGTTATTATCACCACCATCATCATCACAGATATTAAAATAAACATTGCTACACTTATCTAGGAGGAAGTCACACGAAGAAACAACAAAAAAAGAGAGGTGAAGTTCACATATATCCACATATACCCATTATTTTGTAAACTCCCCTCCCAAATGAAAGTTGAAAAGTAATCTTGTATTAAATATTTGTCTCTTTCATCATCTATACCCAAGCCATGCTCTTAAAACTACTTTGTGACAGTAAAATATATTTTAAGATAGATAATATACACCCTTTATTTTATTTTCTAAGTATCATGATAGGTTTCATAATTAAAAAATATTTTATCAAATCTCAGTTTTAAAGCCCTTTTTTGTTTTAAAAAGCAATGATTACAATGTTAATAAAACCTAAACATGAAAGTGAATTTATACATTTTCTTTGTTCTTGAGAATTGACAACAACAGTATTAAATGCTAGTTTTATCAGATTGTTTGTTTACAAGAATAATTGTATATTTACAACATTCTAAAAATGTGTGCCAACTAATTGCTAATCCAATGCTATCAATGCTAGATTTACATATGGGCTGCAAGGGCCCTTTATTGTTGGGCCCCAGATAAAACTAAAAAAATAAAGATATAAGGACAGAGATTTGTTTATTTTTATTTAATTTTAGTGTTTCATTTGTTTTATTTAATGTTAAGTGTTTCATATTTCACACCAAAAAAAAAAATCTGAAAATAATTTTTTTTTTTTTTTTTTATTATAGACATGGAGAGGGGCATGCATAATGAAGGGACTCCCAAATTATATTCACCCAGGGGCCTCTAAAAGCCTAAATCTAGGCCTGAATACAATGTTTATCATTTACCAATTTATAAAGAAATATGAAAAAAAATTTATTTTTTCATAAATTTATAAACATTTACTAAATTCTAAAAATATGTGAACCATCTATAATGAAATCCTTATTATTTACCATTTTATAAAGTTCAAATCAATTGTCAATGAACCAAAATTGTTTTTCAAAGTATATGAAAGGGAGGTAATGTATAATTGCTGGATTAACAGGCATTAGATATCTATTGATTAGGTATCCTTGAGTCTACATCATGATTATAAAAAAAAACAAAAAAAAACACACACATTGGAAAATTAAAACCAGAAGTAATCTAAGATAAAAAAAAACTTTAAGAAAATCTGTCTGTAAAAATCATGTTTATTTAAATTTTCTTGTTCTATAGTTCAGATATTTTTATAAAATTATGAATAAAGAAAACTTATTTTCAGTTATTTATAAAATAGTAAATAAATATTGCATTGTAGTTGGCTCATATATTGTGAAAATTTTGTAGATTTTTATGAACTTTTGAATAAAAAGATTTTTTTTCCAATTCATTTCTTTATAAAAATGACGAATAATAAATATTGTACTTGGTTCTCATGTTTTTATAATCTTGTAAATAAACATTTGCTGAAGGAGTCTCAGTTCTGTTGTACCTCAAAGTGGAGTTTGAAAAGGACACCATGTCGACAGGAAAAAAAAAAAAAACGTCCTTTTCACATTCTGTTTTTCTTTTTGCAGGCATGAAAGTTAAACTTTGCCAAAATTTTAAAATATATTTT